TGGGTCCCCTTCGGTGAACTCGGTGCCTCCGAGTACATTCCCGGCTGGACAAAAGCACACGACCAGATCCTCGAGTATGACTTTGACTGGTACATCGGTGGACACGTCTCTCGTCTTGGAAGGCGAGAGGATGTTGAGATCCAGAAGGAGTATGTCATGGATCTTAAACAGATTACTATCGAAGCAGTCGCTGCGAGCACCCCGCTTATTGCTCAGATTACTGGACCAGCCGCTGCAGCAAACCCCGAGAATGCCTGGGCAATGACTAGTGCCTATGGAGAGTGGTTGACGGACTACTGCGAGGGCCCGATGAACAAGAAGTGGGTTGGTAGGCTAGGCGGTGCCGATGTGTATGCGCGCTTGAACTGTTACAAGATGATTGAGGCCGTCAGGCTTGATTGGGGTTACTTGGGGCCCGCTGGGTTGAGATCTTAAATGTGGACTCCCTAGCTTGAGCTCTGAAGATGGATTGAAGAGGATGAGGTTGTAATGTATCTCCCATGCGGGTGTCTCTACGATATGGATTCATGTATGTATGTGTTTTCTATGTTTGGAGGTGATGAGATGGAACGATTGGACTTCTTGCTTGGGTTTTGGCCCTTGACATGTAATCTTAGATTACTCCTAATGTTTATTTAATTTACACTTTTTCTCTACCGTTGAGGCCCACCTGCATCGTGACATATCTATTCTTCCGTGGTTATCGATTGGCCAATTGGCCTTTGATATCTCCCAATGATATTTTCAGATGGTTTATTCTTGGCACGCATCATCGCTCTTTATTGCGCATGGGCTGCCATTGGGTGTTTCCGTGGGGCCGATATCCGTCGTTTGATATAAATAGAAATAATAGGCAATCGCAGTGATATTCTTATCCCTGCATATTGGTTGGTCTTGCGAGTAATATTCCTATGCTGAAATATTGGCGGAAGGATGAATACCGTGATAGCGATTCCCCGCCGAAGGTTTACTCACCAAACTGTTAACGAGGTATTGAGCATTATGCCGGCCAAACAACGTCGGTTTTAAAGACTTGATCATATCCCCCACCTCCCATCTGCAGGCACCACGAATCTTTTTTTATTTCTAAATGCGTCTGCGCCTGAGTAAGTATAAACAGTCACCAAGTAGGGCTACAAGGGCATCAATTTTGCATGCCCGAATGGGCTGACTGAGCCGAGCTACATGTATAGGTAGGCCGTGAACAGCCGTCTCGGCCCGCGTCTGAGCGCCAAGACATGCGGATGGGTCGTAGCCAGAGCATGGAGTATCACTCGATTCTGTGACTATTGTAAACCAATGCCATTTACCCGCGCACCTACTCCAAGGTCCTATAAACAACCTAGTACAGTCTAGCTATGAGCCCGTAATCGAAAACATCCAGTTTTTTTTTTAAAAAAAAAAATGTCCTGAGAGCGTGACACTTGGGTGACCATGGCATCGGGGTCCAGGCTAAGGTATGAACGCACTAAGGAATGGGGTTGGAAGTCGTCGCCCCACGTACTCATAACCTTACCAACTAATACTTTTATGAAGAGAAAATCTACTTGGTATCCAAACTTCGCAGACCTGGAAAGGTACCGTCACGTCGATGTTCAGTCTAGTAGGCTTGGCATCACGTTTATTCCAAGGCTATTAAATGCAGGCTTGGCATCTTGGCATCTTGGCATCAATCATGGATGTCGTGAGAAAGAGAGAGGATTGTGGGATCAGCTCGATTGATATGACATACGTTTGTGTGATTTCTAAGCTTAGTGTTGATGCACTGCAACTGAGTGTAAGTAGGTGTGTAGAACAGGGGGATAGTGGTGAAGCTCTTCGATCGTTATGTATTGTAAATCCAGGCTCCGTTTAGGCTTTGAAACTACCATTCGATATTGTCCTATGATTGTCGCATGTCAGCGGGTGAGATGGCTCGTACGCACATATCTCCCAACCCGCGGGGGGCGCCTTGTGGTTAATAGGGTTAGGTTTGTGTACCAGGGCTAGGGATGGCAGGGTTAGGGTACGCATAACATATCCCCTTTGCACGTGTCTAGGTGAATTAAGTTAAGAGTGTCTTGGCACGCATCAATATTTCGAGTGATAGGTTGTGAACGTGGGAGAATTCTAGTTTTGACACGCAACTGTTTGCTGAACAGTAGTAGGGCGGTAGGTTCTCGTATAAGCACTAAATTGTTAAGGAATACCTGGGATGGGATTGAAATGCTAAAAACTACTGTGTTTAATGGTTTCGAAAACTTTGCTGCCGGGTTCTGGGTGGACGTGCACGTCATACCAATCCTGTTATGGAGTTTTCGAGAATATGAGTGAGTCTGAGAGAACTTAATTTCTTAGCCTTGATAGGGACAATCCATTGGAGGATTAAGCAGTCGTAAAAGATTTGATATTTATCATATTCTGCTATACGGCATTCGAATTCAGATATATTGGAAGATCCGACTTCGGTATATATGAAGTTATAGTATTGCTAGAGACACATCTATATGTTACAAGGTATTTAGAACAACCAGTCTGGATATATTCTAGAGGACCGCGGTGGCTCCTGATTCAGGATCTTGGCCCGGTAAAGGTTACCGTCATTGTCACTAATCTCGCAGTTTAAATTTTGTGATAGTGTGGATGTGTGTGTGTGTGTGTGGAATCATTTCATTTCTAGTTTCTAGGTACAGAATGGTCGCATGCAGTATAAACTATGGCGTACGTGATAGTGTGGATGATGTGCCGTAAACATATAAGACCGAATGGAACCAAAAGGGGGGAGGGTATAATAGCACAGTCTTTGGGGTATCTCGGGTACACATAGGTATGGGTACGAGACTTGAGGGCTCGAGAATAGGTCTCAAGCTTTCCAGGTGAGACAAGACAAGACCAATGAAAATAGTTTAATTTCGCAATTATCTGGAGGGTATTGTGGGTTGGAATCGGGATGAGGCGTGAGATGTCCCGTCGGGTTATATTGGACCTTTTGAACCTTTCGGAAAGGTTTTAGAGGGATTATTATACTATATAAAAAAAGATAATTCTTCCACAAGATGATAATTAGCACATAAGGTTCATGGTGCAATATCAAAAACATGACTTGAAGATTTGAGTATTTTAACTCTTTCCTACATTTGAGATTTTCTCAAATTGCAAAGTCTCGAGACCTGTAGATCTCAAGACTTTGTGGAACGCCCGAGGTGATGCGGGGCCTACTATTCCTAACCACGATACGAGACAAAACCGTCCAAAATCTAGTCTCGTCTTGTCTTGTACCCATCATTAGACCGTATAGAATATCTATGTAAAGGGGATTACATTATCTGGCGATCGCAAGCTCATGTATAAGTCGTGTTCAGTAAAAGCTTATGATACAGCCCTTAATCTGGAAGATATATGACTCTGTCCACCATCTCGGTGGTGTTGCATATCAATCTTTCTCAGCGCAAGTACGTAGAGATCTGAGTGTAGGCTGTCCAGTGTTGGTGAGATGATTTCACTCTGGAGTGTCATCAGCACGGGGGTGTGGTTAATCCCAACTTCCAAGACTTTGAACGGAACATATAAGGAGCTATCGTCAACCACTTGCGTATCATATATCTCTCCATAGAGTGTTTGGGTTTTGAGCATACGGAACGACAGCGAAGGTATCTGGCTGAATTTGGGAGTGTCGGCTTTCGCTGGACGGGAAATATATATCGAATATGGTGTTGTTGGTTAATACATACGAGGATAAACCGCAAGGGATTGGTATTCCGAGAGCTAATTCTAGGGCTGTGTTTTTATTTTCCTGACGGGGGTGATCGGAAGCAAGTAAGACGGCGTTGGATACTTATACAACGAAACGATAATGACGACCTATATACTGGAACAATCTGGCCATAACGATACCAGGTACGGCTAACAGAATGTATTCAGGATATAATGTGCACAGTTTCAAATTACGGACTGAAACATACATTAATTCTACGTTCGGAAGTCTAAAATCAGTAGTCGATGGTGTTAGGGGGTCGAGTCATATTTTTATGATGGCATTCTCTGGATGGACTGAATGGCGTTACACAAGTTCTATGGTGCGCCCACGCTTAAAGATAGCGGATCGCGACGAAATATCAATGGCTAATAATTTTGCAAAGAAAAATCGTAAAAAGAAAGCATAATGATAGGACTCTAGTACTAGTGATGAAGTTTAGTTCTATCATTGCAGAATTGTAATATCTGTCTGGGTTGTAAAGTTATTGGAGGTTGAAATTGTGTATTTTTGTATGTAAAATGCGCCAAGACTGAACAAAGTGGAACAGTATTATACCCAGAAAAGCAAACCTGACTGATCTGTGGCAACCCATGAGGCCCTATTGCAGCCACAATTGTTCCACTTCCGTATGCCACCATATCACACGTCGGAGTCCAAATATAGATCTTTTTAAAACGATCCCGCGCTCCCCTGGGCAAAGCCCACTCAAGCGATTATTGAGGATTCGGTATCGGGCTTTTATATAGTAGTTAGAAGAACACACTTTCGAGTGCTGTGTGCCACCGATAAAAGTCATGATGAGCAGCTCAGCCAGTAGGGCTGCGGTGGTGAGGCAAGGCCCCTGGCATTATGCATCTCTGCGACGGGTGCATCTGGCTTATATTGCATATTGGGACTGTGGCGTACCATGTCCTGCTTATACGGGGGCGATGTGCTGGTACCACTAAATAAATGATAGAGTACATAAGCTTCCTTGCAAGGGAAGGACTTTGAGGGCTATTTTAAGCATATAAACACCGGGTCTCAAACGTGAAAAAAAAACGAAAAAAAAACCAAAAAAACAGGTAGACCAGATCAACTGGCTCATTGCACTTTTATCGCAAACAATTACATAGTAGGTAAGCGTTAATATAATAACTTAACCACGCAGCACACATATATCGGTATAAGAAACAATATACTGCGATCGCTACAAGATACACCCTAACACATCTGCCGTAATCAAACAACTCCGCGCTTAAACAAAGACCTCCCCATCACCTTTCTATACCGGACCACACGGACTGGGGGTTGCATTGGTACAGCTCGCCAGCGAGTTCGCTACACAGCACACATTATGCGGACCTTCACTCGCCATTGTTATCAGCGCCGCTGTCACAGCGATCTCAGAGGATGCGGCCTTACCACATTGAAACACCCAGGTCTTGTAGGAGGCTGATCCGGGAAACCAAGTACCCGCATCCGAGTGCGCGTTGCAGCCCCAACAGTACTCCCCATCTTTTACCCCGGGCCTGCATTTGCAGCCATTAACAACGCAGGCGCGCTTGACGAGAGGATTGTCGAGGTCCGGCGCAGACACGGGGGCGGGGGCGGGGGCGGGAGCGGGAGCGGGGTTGGCCATGGTGAGATGGGCCATGATAAACACCAGAGCAAGGGAAAAGAGGGCGAGAAGACGCATGTTGTATAGACCTTTCGTGTGTCTCTTGTCCGTAGATGTGGGAAATTAACGTATTGAGGGAATAGAACTGGGGGGGAGGAAGATGGCCTTTATATAGGAGGAGGAGGAGGAGGAGGAGGAGGAGGAGGAGGAGAAGGAGGAGAAGGAGAAGGGGAAAGAGTCGCTGCAGCGTTGGAGGGGGTCAGGCTGGATATATGTGCTTCACTGCTTCTGCTGCTATTGGTGTATCATGTTATTCTCAGCCGCTGCTGCACCTCAGCCCAGCCACCACCCTACTGGCCAGGGACAAAGCTTTGGCTTGTGACCTGTGCGATAAGATAGACCATCCACATGGAAGATCCCGCGAGTTCACCTGACTGACCTGTATAATGGCTGTATTGTCTATCGACGCCACCAACGCGGTGTATAAAGCCGTTCTCCCAAGGCCTAGGGGCTCAGGTAGCGAACCCTTTGGACCTGAAACAATCTCTGGCCGGTCGCTTTGTCGAGGTACTTCAAGCGGAAGGGACCTGAAAGTTGAGAGATATGCGTATTAATTGATCCTGGCAGAGGGGAGAGATCCATCGTGTACCTATTTCAAGTTCAACGCTCATCTACTTTACCGCCTCGCCGCGGGAAGTGCGGGGTTGATTGACGACACCGAGGCATGTGTTGAGTAAACATGCTAACAGCATTTCAGTGATACCGTGAGCACTGCATTATATTGCATATACTCCCCAGTCCGTACCTTATCCGCCTTTCTAACCAGCGCCATGTCCAGTCCTCTTCTCATGCGCTCCGGAGTATCAGCCTTAGACTGTGAGATCAGGTTTATCGTTGTTTTCACCATTCCGGAGGAAACAAACAAACTCCGGCGCTGCTCCGCGCGGATCAAGATAATTCAATGAACAGCACGCAGCCTCCTTCCCTCAAACGCGGCAGCAAGGTCTGCCGATCCACAGACTGGTTAGGTGTCGTGCAGTTCTTCGGGCTCAATTTTGTCCTGCATGCGCTCACTCTTGTAGCCCTTCCCGGCGCCAACGTCGTCGAGACCACCATTGCCGGCTCCCTCCTCACTGTTCTTATGCCGGCCAGCGGTGTCCAGCGCGCCTGTACGTTTCGTCTTCATGAAGGCAGTCTTTATGTGCCGCGGGGGCAAGCTTGACGTCGCGCTCAAAGCCGGCGCGCTGTGTATGCTTGTACCCTCGAATCTCGTCAAACCGAAGGCCATGGTGCAGGTCAGCCCACTGACCACAAACATACACGGGGAGCACCGACGGATATCCGGAGGGTGATCGCAAGGCCGGCGTCGCCGGTGCTGTCGGGGTACGGGCTGGTCGGGGTGCCGGCTACCTTCGAAGCTGTGCCATTCCTACCCGGGGGGGATAGGAAGCGGGCTTCAATCCTGATCATGAAGAGGATCTGGAAGGAGCACCGCACCCAGGCCCAGACCTGGGGCATGTGGCGACTGCCACGGGGTGGCTTCACGCCCCTCGCGCTGTCCTGCAGCTACAGTCTGATCAGGAGCAGTGCGGCGCTCATTCAGATCCTGTACATGGTCGGCGACGAGCAGATAAAGAGGAATGGCTATGCAGGTTACTAGTTTCCGTACGTCACAATGTCCATCCTAAACCTGATCGCCAGTCTCAGCGCCTCAAGCTACCCGGCGATGTATACCGTCCATTACCGCGGCCTGTGCAATCCAAGCAATATGGACAAGACTGTAGCTAGCGGCGGTGGTGGAGGTCCCAGCGGCGATATCACCGCGACAGTGGCGTCGGTGGATGAGGTACTGGACCTGGATGGATTGACGATTGACGCTGCCATTAGAAGAGAAGAAGAAAACGATGAAGGAGAAAGAGATATATCCCCACGGATGGTGGGGCAAGGAGCAGCGAGCAGCAGTCGAGAACATGGTGGCAGGCGCGGTCGGATGCGTCTACGGCGACCTGTCCAGGGGATTGAAATCAAGAGCGCTCGCAACAACCAAATCAATACAGAACCAATCACCAAATCTCAAGAGACTTGTTGCGGTTCTAAAATTCGTCAACACCGCCGCGCCCTACGTCGTCATAGGCGTGTTGACAAGGTGGAAAAAAGGGGGAGAGCACAATTATGCAGCGGGTGCTGATCTTGCTGTGGATCACGACTGGCCAGCTCGGCGGGTCTTACAATGTCATTCTCACGTATAGTTGGGAGAGGGCGCTCTGGCTTTCCTTCTTGGAGTCCCCAGTGATTGCTATATATATAATCTTGATGGCGTTCTGTATAGCCGTCGTGCTACTTCCAGCGGTGACCGGGCTCTATATCGTGGGGCAGATGATGTTGAGTGATAGGATATGCAGTGGGCTGTAGGTATAAGATATGGGCGTGTGTTCGCTGGACGGCGTGAAGGAACTCTTTAGAAGTTGGGGGATGCTCTATTGTTAATTGATGTCTCCGGGATTATGTGGTAGACCTACGGTACGATTTCGAATAGATGGATTATATATGAGGAGATCTAAAGCTCCAAGTTGTAGATTAACCGCGGTGCAAGATGGCAAAAAAAAAAAAAGATGCTGTGTTTGCAAGTGAGATAGATTACCGACTGAAGGGAAAGGAAAGAGCATATTACCTTTGGCAAAGATTGCTTTGTTCGGCCGGGCGGGCTGGGGTCAAGTGAGCACCGCGCAAGGGAGACCTCCTATGTACCCTATCATTGGAGATGACCTAGCTGATGAGAAGGTCGAGGGATGGGTGAGTAGATACGAGCAGACGATCAATGAGGATTTTTTGTTTGTCTTTCCTCTGACTACAATTAGGGTTCATAATCAAATCAGCATTGAGTGATTTTCCCTGGTCAATAGAAGCCGCTCTTCCAATTTCCACACTCTGCCTCTTCTCCCGTCCATGTGGCGGTGGGTTCGTGCGTGTGGGGTTTATATGCGCTCCGGGCATATTTCGGAACAATTGAGATTTTCATTTGCATCAAGTAGAATAATTGCAGAGATTCAGATGAACAAAATTACGTAACTAAACGTCTGGGAACATTGGTGAGGCTATACTGGTGGCTCAAGGCCTTCGGGGCCTGACTAACCGAAGCGGAAAGAACGGAAGCAAGACTTTCAGGAGTGTAATGACGGTTACGCAACTCCATTCACTCTTTTCACGCAGAAATTACACAAACCGAATCAAAGACAAAGGTTTGAGTAAACGGAATCAAGAAGCACAGAGTTACACATCATCTCAAAGGAGTTTTACTTACTAGGCTCGTGTATAAGAGGTTCAATTGTTTAAAAGTCTTGAGATTGAGGAGTAAAGTTTCAACATGAGATAGAATTTGACTGAAGGTATAGTCGGAATTGTTTGAAGAATTGAGAATAACAAATCCGTTTGTTAATGCAGAGTACAGTAGGTTGAAAGAATATGTAGCCTCCCCCTATCCCCGAGCTCACGCCACAAGAACCCGTTATGATGTCATTGTCTTTTCTCGCTCCCAGACATAAAATATCACCCACATTTGACCCTATATACAGTCACTCAGCAAAGGTGTTTGTGATATAGTTTTCAATGTCAGTGCGCAGTGTGGCGCACCCGTAATACTCATGTTATTAAAGTTGAGATTCAAAACAACGAAAATATATAATATAATTTGTGACTATATATAAAAAGAAGATAGGTCATTGATCATATTCTTCATTGATTTGGGCGCCATTGGTCACCGGGAAAGTCTTCTCTTGGGGGGTTCTTGATATTTTTTTTTTTTTAAATCATATGAATTGTTTCTAGGTACAATAACTGCATGCAGGCATAGCCTATGGCATAAAAACCAATCCCCAATGCCAGTTCTCTTGTTATAGTAGTTGTGGTGTGCTACCAACCGCACTCCTCTTACAAGGTTGATGACTAAGAAAACCCCCGCCCGAGAAAAAAGGAGAAAAAATCCGGATAACACAAAAGAAAAACATATTGCCGGGCCAAAAAAAAAGCTTTAATGCGTCCCCAAATCCCCTACTGTAGTGACTATGGTATGTCACCAACCGCACATCCCCTCTAAGGGTAGACGGAGGGGGGGGTGAAAGGTGTCCCCCTGAGAAAATTCAGGAGAGAGGAGGATGGTGCTGGTGGTCTTTGGGGGGTGACCTTCGAGCTCTATGCCCCGGGAGGAGGAGGAGGAGGAAGAGGCAGTGGGCCTGGTCAGTGAAGAGAAGAGCCCGGGAGTGAGGTTGATGATGGCTAGCCGGACGCATCATACGAATGTCTCTTCTTTTCATATAATCCAAATCATGGAGGAGGAAAACAGATCGAAGCGACGATCCTTGGCGTAAAGAAGCCAAAGAACAGTCTTTATTAAAGAGGATCCCTGCACTTTGTCAGGTCTTGGCGGTGTTGAGAAGGGGTTGTCGGTTGCTTGAGAGGATGGGGGGGGTTCTTGATAGTCTGCCGTGGTTACATATGGAGAAATGTCTCACCCCGAAATCGGAATCACGAACACTTTTGCAGAGTGCTGTATCTCCCTCTAACCCCCGACCTCATACCACAAAAGCCTGGTATAAGAGTGTTAGGGGGGATAGGAATGAAGAGGAAGAAGAGGAAACAAGAGAAGGAATGCTAGGGTGTGGTGGACTAAGGGACGACACATGGCAAGAATGGACAGCGGGAGGGGGCAAGTACTAAGGAACGATTAGGAGCCTAAATTGGCATGTGGAAGTACGAAAAAAGTACCAAGCTGTGTTTTCATTCTGTTATTTAGTTCATTTTTTTGAGATGGCGATGGAAGAGCAGTGTAGTTCTGGGGCGTGTGATATTTTCATAGACAAAAGTCTGCATGCAATCAATGAAATAAACAAACATATCATAGATAATCACTCGGTAACCGAGTGATACCTCATGACCACATCCACCCCTCCCTAGCCCGCCCGGCATTTTCAACCGTCCAAGCTCACCAAACGAGGCCTCCTACCCGGTTCAACCCCACCCAGGCTCTCGCCTCGTATATGTGTTTATCCACCGTAATGGCCCTTACCCACCGCGTCATCTGGCTCGGGCCTCCTACATCTGGTAGCGGGCAATAGAGGAATGGTCTCGAGACGCGAGACCAAACAACACAAAGCATGTTGGTGCCGTAAGAAGCCCTAAGAAAAGCGAACTTAAAATAAGACCTGTTGGATATATAGCGCTTTCAAGTGATGTCGAACGGGAACTGGTGACCGAACAGATACGGGTGAGCTGTCATGACGGAGACACCTGTCAAATGTCTAATGACAGCCGTCTGGTCTGGTACTCGACTATATACTTAGTCTCTTTGTTGTGATAATAATTAAGCTGCTCAACTGTCCCGTCCTCCTCCAACCTTTTCGGCAAGGCTTGCTTCCGAAAATGCGAGTGAGTGATTGTCCGTGACCCGATACCCGCATCCTGCCGGCCTTACCCAGCGTATGGGAAAAAGACCAACCCGATGGCCCGAGCGCCGGGCGGGACCTCAAGGCCCCGCAGAACCTAGCGCTCTGGGGTTGGCAGCTCCGAGATCGTTTCGTACAGTAGTGCACGGCAAAAGAGGGGACGCCTCCAGTGTTGTCGTGTTTTGTGTGGGGCCAAGGACATATGGTTAACCTGGGGTATGACCAATTCCTCACAAAACCGGAAACAACTTCAATAAAAGAGCACTCTTGATGACCGCTGACCATTGAAAATGGCGCTCCTTATTCGTGCAAAGAATAGCGCTTATTCTCAAAGAACATTTTTTGAATTTAGATGAAATTAGTCATATCCCCGATTTAATCATACGGCCGGTATTGCGCCTACTCGGACAATGCCCGCCTTGTGTGTCATGCACAACACGCTCAACGCGTGTCTTTTGACAGTCCCCCAGATGTGGCTGTGATTCCCATAAGGAATATAAAAATGTGTCAAAAGTCGCTGTTCTATACCTCTAGTATCGGTACGCTATAACAAAATGTCCAATGAACGGGTAGCATCCGCGAATGGGATCGACAGACTAGATACATTTCGTAGTTTTCTGGAGCTAGGGGGATAGTACTCGGGGACAACCTTCTCCCGGCGACTACTTCAAGATGTGAAAGTTAAGATAAACATCATGGGGGTATTTTTGGTTCATCACTAGGGGTTCTACCATATATATCATGATACATAAAACCCAGATCAAAAAAGATATCTCGCCTCCGGCCGTCAGCCTTATTTAAAATGATCATGCCACCCCCCGCTGTTGCCAACCTAAAAACCACAGGCATCCATTGAGAACCCACTATAGACACACACACCCATACTTTCACAACTAACTACTCGGGTTCCTGTTGGTCGAGACACAGATCTAACTCGCCCCAGGTGGAAATGTTACGTGATATGGGAAGTTTTGTTGTTAATCAGTGGATTATCCTTTCGCCATGGTATCACTGTAACGACAGAGGGTATGAGCCTGACAACTTACCAACTGAGTGCCTTCTTTTTCTCTCCGACTCGCCCGCCGTGACTTGACCAGGAACCACAATGGCATCAGCTTCCTCGTTGATTCCGGATAGTGCCCTGTTCAACTCCTCTGGCATCAATTGAAGAGAATCTCGGCCGGTACGCCCCGCTGCTTGGTCATAAAACGGTACATTTTCGCCGGCGTCTGATCCCTCCCTACTTGTAGTATCTAGTGTTGTCCTATTGCTACCGTTACCTAAGATCTTGCCCGCAACTGCGTCCGTGAGTTAAGAGGCCAATTCTTCGTTGCCCGTTTGCGCTGCCAGATGTAAAGGGCTCCCGCCTTCATCTCCCCCACTATCATCTGTCTCACGCTCGTCTATATTCATATCATTATCTTCACTCTCTTCTGCCTCACTGTTTTCTATCTCATGACTCAGACAGAATCGTGGCGTATTTCCATCGTAATCCTTAGCGTCTATATCCGCACCGTTCCTGAGTAGTAGCTCAACCTTCGGATCCCGAGTCACGTCATAGCCGTCTTTCACCGCGTAATGTAGCGGGGTTCTCAGCTTGTTATCAGTGGCATGAACGTCGGCGCCGACATCTATGATGAGAGGGAGTGTTGTTGCGTATCCGTTTTGAGTAGCAGCATATAGCAAGCTCCGTTCGTTGTTGCTAGTGATTTTTACATTGGCGCCTGCCTTGAGAAGGGTTTGGACAGCGCCCCGGACTGGCTCTTCACTGCGGGACCAGTTCTCAAGGAGGGTCATTAGAGGTGTTCTCCCGTTGATATCTGCGGCGTTCACATCACAACCACGTTTAATTAGTTTACTGATCGCAGTTCCTAGATACTCCGAAGGGAGTTTTGCTGCGTAGTGTAGTCGTGCTCTGCCCTTTCTATCATGTGCATTTATATGCCGACGCGACTAGCTCCGGCGTTCGAATGATCAGTCTGTGTAGATGCAGAGAATCCGCCTGCACTCCGAGCCGATACGTCGATAATGTCGTCGACGTTGGCGCCGTGCTTTAGAAGATCACTGCACACAACCTCGTTGTTATAGGGAGGTTCTCGAAGAAAGTATTGTAGGGTGACAAAAATAACTACGCACCGAAGTTTGTATTGGAAAAGAGTATATTCTAGGCCTACCACTCCGAAAATGCGGCCACTAACTTGATAACCTACAGGAAGATCTTTGGAGCTCTAGAAACTCCCATATACACTTATGTCTCTCACCGCCTATATAGTTATGCAATAGCTATACTTCAAAGTTCGGCCTTTTTGTTAGTAATCCACACAGCAACCATACAAAAATTGACAACTTCAATTCTTTGTAACTCCATGAGTATACAAGATATCAGAGAGATAACCATATCTCTAAAATTCTGGAGCTTGGGAGATTTGGTCTTTCTGATATGAAATTTGTGGCGGTATGTTTGAAGTAGCTAGGTCCAAAAAACGTTATTTTACCATACAAATTTGGGTGCAATACATTAGTGGCGTTTTTCCATCACTACATCTCACGTCGGCCGTGGCACCTGCTTCCAATAGATGGCGGATAGCCAGGTGCAGCGGTGTCATGGACTTATTATCCAGTCCATTAACATCCACCCCAGCGCCTACGAGTAAACGAACGAGTTTGTCGTCGCAGGCGGCCCCGGCAGCAAGGTGTAGCAGGTTTTCATTTTCACTGTTAACAACCGTAACATCGGCGCCCGCTTGAATTAACATCCTGATCTTATCCCTCCAACACACCCGCTTCTCGTCATCCTCGCATGGGAATGAATCATTCTCAAATCTGGAGCGCCTCATAAGCTCCATCAGCGGCGTGTTACCATTCCTGTCCCTATTGTCCAATTTCGCCTTTTTCTTCAGCAAAAGTCGCATCTGATCTGACAGCAAATCCTTGCCCGGATCCCGAGCTATGCATTCAAGTGGTGTGCATTGCTCGTCATCTTGTGCATCGATATCTGAACCTTTCTCAATAAGTAGCACCAATGCACCTAGCCCTATCCGTGACAAAGCTGCATAATGAATTGGTAGCCTTCCCTTCAAGTCTCGTGCTTTGAGGTCAGATCCAGATGCGACAAGTAGTTCCACCGCGCTCACTAACCCTTTGTCTGCTGCAATGTGAAGTGGTGTCCGTCCGAGCTTATCTTTTGTATTTACGTTCGTACCGGCGTTTATCATTATGCAGCGTGCTGCCATAACAGCATCGTCGTCCAGGTGATTGTGCAATAGAAGATGAAGCGGCGTATTTCCGTCAGCATCTGCGCACAGGATATTGCTATCTCTCGGGCCAGCGCTAGTTCAACAAGACAGGGGTGGGTATTGTGCAAGGGCAGCCTTCCGCGTTTATCTCTTGAGTTTAGTTCAACACCTTTCCCTATGAGCATCAATGCCATGTCTTGATTTCTGCCTGAAATAGCGCGGTGTATTGCACTCCTCCCTTCATCGTCTCGGGCTTCGACGTCGGCGCCGGTATGTAGCAGCATCTTGACAATGACCTCCTCACCACGTCCGGCAGCGAGATGTAATGCTGTATTGCCAACTGCATCGTTCGCATCAATGCATTCCCGGGTCTTATCGGTGATGGGCGTATCTTTTTCGCCTCTCTCAGCGTTAAGCAGCGGCCGGGCAATAGAGATAAAGCCGAGTCGTGCTGCTAGATGATGCGGTGTCTCCCGGTGTCGATTACGAGTGTTTGTCTTCGCGCCTTTGGAAAGCAGATACTTAGCAAAAGCCAAGTTATTCGTGAGTACAGCGTATTGCAAGATTGTTCCACTCCGAACCCTCTCATATTTATATCCATATCTACGGATCTCAAGATTTGTTTCAAGGAGCTTCCAGGTCTCTAGCGGATGATCTATATCCATCCCGCACTCAACCAGAAGCTCCATCGAGCTGGCCTCCAGGCCTTCGGGACCGTCACACTTCTCCGCGTCGTACAATGTTCTCAAGGCCATTTTCATGCTTGCTCCCCTATCTAATAGTAGCATTACCATATCCTTATTTTTCCCGCATAGCGCAATAGCTAATGGTGTTTTATGATATTTCAGCCAAGCATTGCCTCTTGGTGGGCGATGACAAAAGGTATCTGTGATCTGGTATTCATTAATGAGATCTATATCTGCGCCTCTGTCTAATAGTAATTTAACGATATCCAAATCTTCAGTTTTTATAGCGCACTGCAGCACTGCACCGACTTCTCCTTGCTGATCAAAGTTCGAATTAAGCCCATATCTAACTAGGAGCCTGATGATTTTACCCATATTGTACGGTTTCCGAATATCCCAAGGAAGTGTGCGACAGCTGCTCGTATCCGCGCCGTTTTCAAGAAGCAACTCAACAGCATCGAGCGATTCCACAGCGACCGCAGCCTGGAGGGCCGTTCTTCTGCGTTTTCTATCCATCATATCTATATCTAACCTATTTCTAGACTGCTCCGGGGCCTCTTTCAGCCAGAACAGAACTAGGGGGAGCCGAATCCGCCTCGGCAGCAGCATGCAGCACTGTATAGCTGTATTCATCAACGAGGTTGACGATTCAATAGTTTATCGGCGATAATAGCGCTCCCCCACCGAGTTGCTTCGTGCAATGGGAGCGCCATACAACTCTTATCCCACACGGATTGGTACTCGTCTATAATGATTCTAAACCGCGGTCTCTGAGATAACCGAAGATGCCGGGTTAGATCTTCGTTTTGCAAAAAGCCCAGCAGGGTGTCTTGTGGAGCGATATCATGACAGGCCTGCATATGAATGTATAAACTCCCCGCAGAGTAATCGATAAATCCACGGGTATTGGGCAGGCGGCCGACGAGCTCTGGGTCTATAAAGCTCAACCAGAGGCAATCTAGACAACCAAGTGCAATTGTAAGATGGCGCTGCACCTATTCCGGAATTTCAGGAGAATGTTCGAGGTATTCCTGAACGGAATAGTGAGCAAGTCGGATGGCGCCGCTACTGTCACCAATAGTTACTAGCCCACAACATGCATCTTGAGTTGTTTTTGGAAGTGGCGCATCGGCTTCGTTGAATACTCTGAGATCTCCCCTTAGCTGACGGGTTCCGTCCCCCGTTGAAATAACCATACAGAGTGCTTCAACGGTGTACAACGTGCTGTGATGAGCCAAGTCAGTGCTTTCAAGGCAAGGGTAGTTCTATATTTCGCAGGGTGATTCCGAATTCGATCCATTGCTGTTTTATAGATTCCATTCAATGCGTTTTCAGTGTTAAGAATAGAAGTTAACGAGCCTAGTAGTGTCCGAACTTCCGTCCTTGTGGTGCATCCGCATAATTCTTGGCAATAGAAATGTACAAGGAGAAACCTGTGATAAAGTTGGGGGGGGGGGGGTGGAACTTTAGGATGATTATAAAAAAACGTAGACTGGATGAAATACGGGCTATACGGAAAGCTTCCAACTTACATTCCTTCACATTTCTTAACAAGTGTAGTAAGAACCTCGTCTCTCAGACCACCTTTGATCAAATCGCGGGCCGTTGAGTCATCTTCAATGGAAGTCTCGACATAGACCCAAACATCCTGGCCCTTAGCATTGAGATTCATGATCACAATACCATAGCCAGAGTTGGCTGGGTTTAAGGAGTTCTCTATGTCCTGTAGGTGGGGGCGGCTTGTCAAAAAGATTCTGATCCCATTGCCGGCTATCCAATGGATTAATTTCAACAGTGTAAAGTGTGAAATCCAAGTTAGCCTGTTAGGAGCTGTGTCCTTCGTCTCATAGAATGATATCACCTGATTACCTATTCCTAAACGCTTTATGAAGTAGCCGAAGGAGCGGTCAAGATTATCCAGATACTAGCTATTCCCAATAAGGTCCTGAACCAGATTCAGGTTAGGCTGTCCACGAACCATCGACCTCAGACCATCGGCGTTCGAAAGTCCTTTGTTTGGAACTCCAAAGAGAAGTAATCCGGCACACAATTGTAAGACGCTCGGCCTACTGCCTTCGGAACAGTCTTTGATTGCCTATGCCTGTAAGACGGCACATAGGAATATCTGGTCTTTACGCTTACCTGTTTAATTACCAAGCCGCCTAGGCTGTGTCCAATCAGGATTGTCGGCCGGTGTGGTGCCTTGGATTAAGTATGAGCATCTTTGAATACTCTAGATGTGTGCCGGTGGCTTTCTTACATGACTCTTAGCGGCGTGCACCGCTCTGATAAAGGCCTGGGAGATATCATGTATTCCAGCATCTGAGTGACTTCCCGGTAGCTTCAAATCGTATCCATAGGTTAAAATCCTTGCGCTCAGGCTTTTGGGCTCCAGATCCTCCGGAAGATAGTCTCGTAGCCACATGGCGTAGTTCTCCCGGGATCGCCATGACCCAAAGGCATGTCCAGCAAGCCCATTAACAGCGATAATACTAGACGCATGGTTAGCCGCTAATCACAGCACTGGAAATCAGTTATACTCTATCTTTGGGGTTATGGGATTATTGAGTGGTGTCAGCCCTCGAAAGTCTCAGGTCAATGTGAGAGGGAACTACAGTAGTAAGATTGGAGAACGTGAGAGTCGCTATTTGGAACCGTGGACAGTCTGACGCTTCCGGTGCTAGTGATAGATATGGATGACCCTTAGCATCTCTTGCAATTTCACCAAACGAAACCTCTTCAAGGTACATCCGTAGGTTATCGTGGGATAGTGATAGCGGAATGTTTGAAATTGTAATTGTTTTGTTTTTTCCTCTGAGAGGAGAGTGGTTGGCATCTGCTTCTGCCATTCTGTTTCAGTATTGTCTTTGAGTTTTGCAAGGGATTTGGAAAAAGGAATGCTTAGGTTGTAAAGGGACGTCCTTGGATCTACCCCGCCTTGAGAACAAGTGGCTGACAGAAGACCGTATCAGAACACGTCGTACCACCAGGAGCCACTTGCATTGCACAGTGCATCTACTGGTCAACGAACCGGGCGTGCCTCCGCACATACTCACAGCCTTAATTTATCCTCCGCTATGTGGCGACAGGTGGCAACAGATAATAGACGTTCTTACGGGGTTATGGTGCATGCACACGCGGGGGGGGGGGGGGGGGTATGCAATAACTCAGAGCATCGAAGGATGGTGTGAAAAATCCGAGAAAAATCAGGGAACGAATTATGTAAATAAGATTCTCTGCGCAAAATGAGGATATCTGTTTTGTTTTTTGAAATTCTCTGTAGCCGATTTCGACGTTTTCAGGAGTTGTACCATACCCTACTCTGCCCCATACCCGGTATCCTTATTGAAAGTGACCTTGACGTGTGATTTTATAGTTCTCCCCTCCCAAGGTAATAAATAAAAATCTTAAAGGTTGCAAAAAGCAGATATTTAAACGACTATCCAGCCTCTGGGCTAAATGGGGTAGGTATTAGGCCCCACTCTCGCGAATCTCTGGGTATTTCTAGACCGTAATATTTTCTTATTGTTCTGGAAAACCTAACTCTGAACTCGCTGTAAGGATATATACTAAAATGATTAAGTGTCTCCCGCCCCGGAATTCCCTTTAGCTTGTAGCTGCATTTCGGTGGTCTTCTGCATCGAGACCACCGGTGGCCCGAACATAGTCCAGCGCCCGCCCACCTGCCCCGAAAAGGGGTGGGTTTGGGCGGGTGCGGGCTAGGGTGTGGTGGTTTGCTTGGTGTTTGGGGACGGGATGGCATAGGATTTGTGGTGTGTTTCCTTGTGGGCCAGGGCCAGGGTTGTTGGTCCAACGCGATCGGCGTGTATGACCGTGCTGTTGCGGGGTGTAGGGAAAATGCAAAAAGAGTTACTCAGAAGGGGAATGGGAAGGGGCCACATTTGAAATTGACTAGCGAAATTTGATCTATTTCCTTTACTTGTTTATTACTGGGGAGGAAATGCTTGCTGGTTGAATGATGAGGCTCGAGACAGTGAGCGGGAGTTATATTGTGCAAGTCAGTGACAGCTAGGGGGTTGTCTTCTTTTCTTTATTTCTATATTTCTATATTGACGAGGAAAACTTTACCCTGCCTCCGGAGAGTGGGAGGAAAGGTTTTGTCATAGCCTTCGGGATGCATTCATGTATGGATTATCAATCAATCAATCGATAGGGGGGTCAGCACCGACAGCTTAAGGAATAGCAGTTGCAATCAGATCTACAGATCTATCGTCTATGCGAGCAGCACAACTTGAACATACGCCTCGAGTATTACAGTAAAGACAAACTCTTTTTGCTTGAGCTAGATGCATGCCGAGCCCAGTGCGCGGGAGTGGCTTGGCTTGGATCAACTCCGAGCTTAGACGCATGGAAAAGGCCGGGTTCGTCATGGACGGGCATTGGTATGCATTTATTACTAAGGCGGTTTCTACAGGTATGCATGCCGCTTTATAAGCCCATTTGCTGGACCCATCTCGTACTGTATTCCGACTCTGGTCCTCGAGATGGCGTTTTTACAGACCCCCCACGAGCATACTAGGAGAAAGGCGGATCTATGGTGGGAGGCTTCCTTCCGAGATGTGTCGCCTTGTTATCCTGGTGATGATTAACGAAAAGATTCTGCCGCCTGGCGGGATGCTATGTTGGAGAGGAGGAAGGCGGGTTTCCCGAACACAGCTATTAGACATTCTAAGCAACCGTCCGTTGCAAAAAAAAAAAAAAAGACCGGCGAAAGAAACAATCTTCTGCTACATAGCCATAGAAGGTTGGTGTGATCAGGTAAACGTAGCTGATAGCCATGCTCTCACGGCTGTACTTTTGGTTTCATTACAGTGGCCTCTGCGAGGGGAGGAGAAAATATCATACCTACTACCTCCGGCTAGGAGACGCTGGTCTTTATGTTCGCCGATGCTTTTTTTTCTATTGGCTTCAAAGGTCTATTACGATGTAGGCGATATCGATAACGATTGGGTTTGGGATCTCGAGATCACTGTGGAAGTTGTTAGGAAAGGAGCTGATGTATGTACTACTGAACGGGAGGCGGTAAGCAGTCTGTGTTGGGCCCCAATATTTTTTAGCATATGAGTACTGACCTTGATGAAACCAGGTCTTGGCCTGCGCTCTGGAAATATGTGCGCATGCCCTCAACACATGCCACCTCGGCTGTAACCCGTTGTATTCAGATCGCAGTATTTAATTTCACTTCCTAGAGTTTGGATAAAGATCAAATCCGTGGTGACCCTAGTAAAATCGTCTGAATTCAAACATGTAAATTCCTCTTCTTAAGCCTCTGGTCCCTCCATCGATGATCTGCTCTACAATCCACTATACCTGTGTATGGTCAAGATAAAACTGCAACAGCTCCAGAGTTCATAGACCACATGTATCAATCTGTTTAACTCATATTACTGTTCTCGCTGTTGTGAAACATACTTTTTTTTTTTATTATAATCATGGATAATTGACAAAATTACTCTACAAAAGAATCCTTTTGTTTATAGTTTATCACTATTACGTTGAATAAGGGGTTGTGTTGCGTTCGTTGATCAGTTTGAGCTTTCACATGCGTGGAATAAGTTTAGCTAGTCAGGATGTTTTTGGACCAATTAAGTAAATCAAATTTATTGATTTCCAGCCATCAAGTAGCTGCGTTTTTCGCTCAGGTGAGGGTATAAATGGGTATAATACAGTTCCACTTCACCAAGTCTTGTGGCTTTTTACATACAAAAACACCCATTTTCAAGCTCTAATAACTTCACAGAAAAAACAGATAAAAAAAACCTTTCTATACAATTGCAACCTCTAGAAGATATATAGGAGCAGACTGTGTATAGACGGATTTTGGATATCTTGCTCGGTTGGAAACTTAGCAATGCCATTTGCTGTCACCTTTATGATCGGGGGCACCATACGTTTCGGGCAAGCGCCTGATGTACGGCCAAGAATCGGTGGTGGGTGTAAACTTTCAGCAGACAATCTCAAGGCGGGGTTCGTGCGGAAACCACACTTCGCCACAGCGGTGATAAACCGCGGGCTATGTCTTCTTCCGCTTTTTTAGTTGCTGGATATTTTTTAGTTTACAAACCTGCTATATAGCGGATCTACTCGCAGAGGGCGAAGGGGAGTACAGCAGTGGGTATTAGAGGGTTCCGGCACTGCCAAGGGACCTCTCCGAGAAAGATTTCTCTGTAGAAAATCTGCTTCTCACGGTGTAGAGTTCTGGCAACACCAAGAGATTCTGAAGAGATTGCTAGTATGTTTTGGGGCTCACAGTGTAGGGTTATGGTGATTCGATTTTTGGCGGGGAAAACTAAACTCTTCTGTGGAATAGTTCTTCCCCTTTCGGTGTCTTAGTTTTGTTAATATTGGTATCATTGTGTAGGGATTAAAGTATACTCCTATATATATACTGTGAACTTGATCGTTAAGGCCGGTATCTTCAGATCCCTATACTTTGAAGTATAAAAATAAGGCTATACCGGCCGCTTTAAAAGACATTTCTGTGGTCAATGCGGTACATGAACAGGAAAGATAACTTATTACGTAAACAGGGTCAAATTGTATCCCTCTTTTTTTTAAAAAATCATATATGCAGCAGATAATATAATATCCTTCTACCAAGACAACTCTATCCTAAAACTCGTGAAAGTGCATCTGGAAGCATAGATTATCTTCGAAAAGAAATTTATGTCACGCACTATCAGGGCGGCAGGGCGGCAGGGATAGTGCGGTCGGCCGGGCCCGCAGTGGGGGTAGTGTGGCCAGGCAGCAGGTCCATAGGCATTAGGGTCAGCCGCGCATGACAATAAATTCAATCATTACAGCCAATCAGCGTTGGCCAATTCATATGTTGTGCGAATGGCCCGCGTGCGCAGGTGTTTCTCATGAGTGGTGTTCTACAAAGGTAGAACGAACAGAAGTCTAACTAGGCGATTGGCTAACTCTCGGGAGTCAAATGCAAGGCAGCTCTATAATTCGTTGGCTAATTAATGCCAAGCCTGTCAAACAAGGCTTCGGAGTCCCCAGCGCAAAGGGTCATGGGCATACTTTGTTGTATGGCTTGCAATGTCGTGTTAGGAATGGATTTCAGCTGAAGCTGGTCAGTTTTGATATGCAAGGGGTAGATCGAGGCGCTAGCCCGAAGCGAATGACTCCTCAATATGTTTCCTGTGTGGGGTATAGATTTAGATTGATTGATACTTCATATACGCATGCAACCCGTAGGTTATATATGGCGCAATGTTATCTTGTGTGGGGTAGTTGGTGTGCAAATATCTTTTCTTTGAACACGGAGTATCCCTTCATGCATTTTCAGGACCGGACACTATTTGGAGAGACTAAACCGGTCAAGCAAAATCTCTTGTAAATCCTCTACTAATAAACCTAACCCTCACTCCGTGAACCTAGGCCTCTTTAGTGTGAATGTAGCGCTCGTCACCCTTCCTTCAGCAGATCGTTTCGTTTTTTGAACGAGTTTATTCTCTTTTTGGCAGCGTTACAATCCAATCACAGCTAGTATACTGAATATCACTACGCCGTTTCTTCGGTGAATTGCAGGAGCGGGCGAAGGGCTTGCGCAGGATATAAAAATCCAATGCACCATTTTGTATGGTATACATCATGCACGGGAACATCAATTCCGAGGATCGAGGACGAACTTCAGCTGAAGTCGGTCAATTTGATATGCAGAGCGAAGATCGGTGCGCTCACGCGAAGAGATTGCCCCCTCAATGTTTCCTGTGTGGGATACAGTAGTTAGTTTGCGAAAATACCGCAAAAACTCACGAACTTTGCTAGCGGATCTGACTAAAAACTAACTTGTAGAGGAAATATCTGAAGCTGATCTCTGCCTTTCAGCCAATCATCAATGAAGAAATCCCTACACCGAGATAATCAAGTTGGCGAGTTTCCGCGGTACTTTATCTGCCCACGACTGCTATTGATTGGGTGGGATATAAAAATTCAATCCACCTTTTTTGTATGATATGCAATACCAGTTATTTTCGGGAGCGTTAAGAGGATCGAGGATGAGTTTCAGCTGAAGTCAGCCAATTCTGATATGCAAGACGCAGATTGATACCCTAGCGCGAAGGGAGTGGGAGTTAAGAATTACGGGCCCCATTTTCAGTTACACTCAAGTGATCAATACACCAAAAGCAAAGCTCTTTGTATGGGCAGGGGCGAGGAAAACTTCTCCGGCTCACCCAACCCTCTACTGTTCTATCTCGAGAAATCCACTATTTCCGTATTTGTATGTGGTAAGTTTAGACTGGGATGAATCGGCGGCATCAAAATTCACATATTCGTGCAGATGCACACGCGCTTTTCTACCTCAGAACTTACCCTTTACTAAGCGGAGATATTACATCTCGTCCTTTGCGTAGAAAGACCGACTGCGGATTCTCCTTGTATGATTGGTTGTGGGAGGGTCGACGCCAATTAGTTTAACGTGATTTACAGCTAAAATCATCTGGGCAAAGAGACTATTGTGTTTAAGATGTGTGAGAGGGCAAGCATGCGCCTTGAGGTAATAGGACGATATGGATTGGTCCTATGCAGCTGACTCCCACCCAACTACGTCAAGGAAAAAAAGTATGACAATATGCGGGGATTGGACTAGTGTCTGCAGGTCGTTGCAAAATAGTCTTTTATCACACGACAACGAATACTAGCGGTGTTAATTAGTGAGAAGAGTTGTCTGTGAAGGAGCAATAACTACTAAGCTGGTTGGGGTTAATGTATTCCGGTATTTCAGGTTAAATCTAATATCTTTAAATGCGAGTGGTATGTCCGGACCATTTGGAAGAAAAGTCGGCATGTGAATATGCAGAAAGTGGTTGGTATTGATTCTGCCAATTTTCTTTGGCCCGGACATACGATCTAATTATGCCGAGATAGAGTAGTGGATTTGAAAGGAAATAATAGAAGGCTATCATGAGGCGATCCTTCTACAATGAAGGATAATTATAAGCGGGACATTGGCTTATGGTAGGTGCTTTCTTATCTGAATATAGCACTCTTGCACAAAAGAAAAAGAAAAACTAGTTATGTACTGAGAAGCCTGAGATCTACTTGGGTATCGAAAGGTCCGCCCGCGACTGGGGGTGGAGAGCGTGGGGGCGTCGGTTGATCAAGTGACACTCAAACTGGGACGTGCACGCCTTATCAATACCAACAAGAGGGAAAAAAAACTATTTAAGGTAGACCATCCTACTTCTTGCCACACAAACTCAACAATCAACTTCACCCTTCAATAACCAACTTCACTCTTCAACAAAAGTGCGAGATTCATAAGCCTTTCTTGTGTCTTATAATCTCTCAAAACACATTTAACTGATGTTTTTCCTAGATGGTAGTGTTTCCAGGGCCTGGCATATATCGCATTTCGCTTAAAGATCATCCATACCTTCACGTGATCAGGGAACAAAAGCACCTGGGACTACGGTACCTGGCCCTTGGGGAGTACATCCAACAGGACTGGATCTTTAGGAGGGTGGGGCCGGCGGGAGAGCAGCGGTACCTTATTAAGCAGAAAGGGGAGGTTATGGCAGCAGTAAGCCTTAGCCCACCCGAAGAAACTGAAGACGACGAAGACGATGAAGACACCGAAGACGCCGAAGCCCCACCTGAGGGATACGCCAATGCATTCATTAGTTCGATCTACGACAACAGCTCGCACTGGACGGTAGTTCCGCTTGAAAAGTATGTAGCTTTGCCATATTTCATAATTAGTTATTTATTAACCCGCCTTTCCTAATCGTTTAGCTACTTCCTACTTCGAAACGTGGAATACGACACATTCTACATGTTTGCTGGGGAAAACCCCATTGACGTTCCCCCTGGAATACAAAATAATATCCGAGGAAATCCTGTCGGCGCGGGTGGTGTCGCGGGCCTATCCGCACAGTTCAGATGGAACATTTCGCGATGGGTTCCAGGGCCTGGCCTACAGCGTATTACGCTTGGAATTAATCCAGACTTCGACTTGGTCGAGGCAGGTGCCGATGTGTTCATTAGGCCGGCAGGCCCCCATCAGAACTGGAGGATTATACCAGTGGAAGAGGGAGCGCAGAGGTACTTCATTGAGAGAAAAGAAACAGCTAGAGTGATATGCCTTGATCCAGATCTAGATGTAGCCCAAGGTGGATGGGCCAGTGTCATCCTTCAGAATCGGGCGCTCAACAACACCGAAAGACAGCACTGGACGATAGTTATATTGGAAGAGTATGTAGCTTTAATTGCCAAATTTGATCATTAGTTATTTACTCACCCGCCTTCCCTAATCGTTTAGCCTATTCCTACTTCGAAACGTGGCTCACCCTACCCTCTACATGGCTGCTGAACAATACCCCCTGGATCACCCTGAGACACTCGAATTCAAAGTCGGAGTAAGGACCATCCCGGATAATGATCACCTTCGCTCTCCCTCAGAGTGCAGATGGGACATCTCGCCATGGATTCCAAGATATGGCTCACATCGCATTTCGTTTGGAAATGACCCAAGCTTTGACTGGATCCACACAAATGACAACGAGGTCATTAAGCTGGGCATAGGGCCCCTCCGGAGATGGACTATGAAACCAGCATCAGACAATGTACAAAAAACGCAGAAGTACCGCATTCAGCCCACAGGAAGTGATACAGTATTGACCACCCTTGACCCACCCGGAGACGACGTAGCTATAGTTCGATTGGTCAACGTCGCCAATAATTCTCCGGATTTGGGGCCCAGCTACGACGAAAGGCCCCATCACTGGAGGATAGTTTCATTTGGAGAGTATGTAGCTTTGCCAAATTTTGTAATTGGTTATTTGCTAACCCGCCATCCCTAACCATTTAGCAAATTCCTAATTCGAAACGCGGCTTACCCTAAGTTCTACCTGGCTAAGGTTGACCCTAGTGGACACCAACCCATCGTCGGAGGAAGGCCTATCCCGAATGACCGTCGCAATGACCCACCCGCAGAGTTCAAATGGGACATTGAAATCCTCCCCCCCTAGCCGGAAGACTAATAGAGTAGATTATTCTTGGGAACCCCGCTTACTCTTTTCGTGGCACTTGAATCTGGGTTTCCGCCAATAGCTACCGGTTATGTTTTTTTCTTCTTTCTTTTGATGTGGATGAATCAACTGTTCTTTAGCAATTGAAAAAATTGAGGAGTAATTACTGGTGTTCCTTGGGTTCGACCTGTGATAAATTGTGCCGGCCGGCTCCACGTAGATCATCCTGTCCGGCAAGAAAATAAGGGTCGGGCGCCCAATCCAACAGTCATCATAGCACAAACCCATTCGTTTTGAAATAAAGGCTTGGCATTGCAAAATAGGATATGTGGGGCAATAATCATGTAATATGGAATGAGTGATAGATGGAACAGGGTTCATTAGGAAATCAGGGATCACGTGTATTTGAAATAGCTGTTATAGAGCGAGCAACTCCCACGGTTGTCCTTCGAACTCAGGCGGCACAGTTGGTATGATTCTTATACCGGGGTTGTGCCCTTGCGTCGGGGCCCAACGCTCAACGTCTACGGCGTTGACATCCCCCAGTGACGCCGGAGCACCGCATAACCCATCACGTCAACGTCTCCCGCCACCGCCGCCGCCACCGCCACCAGCACCTCCGCCACCACTAGCGCCCACCATATTACAGCCCTAATGCGAGTGATAGCTAGTGACCAGGGGAATGCGGGTGATATTATGTGACCAGGCAAATGTGAGTGACGTACGGTGACCCAGAGCGTCCTGAGCGGCGGACAGAAGCAACAGGGCCATGCGCACGATAGAGTGGGTCATTGTAGTAGCAATCGGCGCTGGCTGTTAGAGAGCGTTGGATGAGTGGTGCATGGTGAGCGTTGGTGCCAACGATAGCGAGTACAACAAAGCTTGGCATTCTCAGCTATTGCCGACACCGCCCACTTGGCAGGCTCCAGTCTGGTTACATACGGCTAGAGATGACTCATACCCCCCAGCCAGCTGACTACATGATGTACTAGGGTATAGCGAAAAGTGATCAGAATCTGATAAGACAAATACAAGTATTCACTGCAGCATTCACTTATCAGATTCTGATCACTTATCAGATTCTGATCACTTATCAGATTCTGATCACTTATCAGATTCTGATCACTTACCCTCAACACCCGGTACTACCCCTCACACACGTTACCTCCTGTGCCCTTGCAACACCCGTGATGGTAAATACTCGTGTCCCCCCCCCCCCCCCCCAATCCACCAACCCTCTTGCATCGCCACAGCTAACGTCTCCCCTCAAGAACCCTCCGATCCCGAGCGAGTTCCCCGAGCGATGCAGAACCTACCTCGAAGAGACGCCTTGTTCGGAATGGAGTTTTACCGAGTTCTGGGATGGCGATGAGCACCTTCTTTCGGGGTGTGGGGATGTTTGGCTGCGCGCCCTGCAGAAAATTATCGATACCTCCGATGACAGGGACAAGTCTCTTGCTGCTGGGCTGGCGAGGGCGAGGTATAAGAACGTATGTATGCATCACTTTTGGTCCACGATAGTACTACAAGCACCTCTGCGCTAGGGCACAGATGGCCTTCACGGTCGGTCGGTCTGGAGTTAAGCCTACCCAGGCATCCAGAAGCATACGTCCCTGCTAGGGCACAGATGACCTTCACGGTCGGTCGGTCTGGAGTTAAGCCTACCCAGGCATCCAGAAGCATACGTCCCTGCTAGGGCACAGATGGCCTTCACGGTCGGTCGGTCTGGAGTCAAGCCTACCCGGCATCCTTCCGTACATCCCGCTGGGGCGCCAGATGGCCTTCACGGTCGGTCTGGAGCCAACCAAGCTGCCTGTTCGGCACCCCAGCGGGATTGGTGTTTGTGTTTACTGATTTTTCTCTAGCGCGAACATCTACCGGAATCGTCGCGGAGCAAGGGGGCCAAGTCCAAGGGGAGTAGTAAAAAACGCAAAAGGGACCCGAAGGTTCGTTCTCTCGCCCCCCCCCCCCCCCCCACAGGATTATCCATTGCCAACATCCGTCGATCGATCCTCCCCAGCAGCCTCCAGCGTACGAAACCTCGCAAGAAGAAGTGACACCTGTCGCGGATCCCCCCCGAATCCCTTCCCCAAGCGTCCAAAATCCCGTGAGCAACAGCGCCGAGAATTGTCAGTGGACCGGAAATGGCTTCTTCCGAGTGGCCGATTTGTGGAAGATGTTCTTTTTGAGTGGGCGCAGTCGCAGGCGGATGAGGCTAGACGACTAAAACAGGTGCCAAAAGAGTCGTATGCACATTCGCTCATACTGGATCTGGATGATCCGGATGTGCAGGAGCTCTTCGGGGAGGACTGGGACTCTATCGTTTCGCTGGTATTGCCGCTTCCGGAGGTTGATGATTCTCTAACGTCCTTCATGCACGGATTTGCAGATGTGGGTAAACATGCCCCCCACCCCCCGTGCTAGTTCACTCGACTCGATGCTGACCATGCAGGTCAAAACCACTGCCGACCTGCGCGACCGTCTCGAAACCATGCCATACAAACCTCCTAGCGAGACTTATTCCCGTGAGAAGCATGGCGACCAAGCCTGGGTTCACTCGGTCCTAACTTCATTGTACGTGTGCCAGCCATGTGTTGCTGCTAGCCTGCCCTGTGTTGCTGCTACCACTGACCTCAAGCCAGACTGGTCCTTTATGAACACGATCATATGTCGTGCAGGGAGAACCTCGAGGCCTGGTTCCAAATCAACATCTGGGGCCCAATATTCGATCGCTGTTTCCAATATATTCCTAAGATGTCTATTTCACGGTACTTCCCATGCCCCCACAAATTCATATCGCGCACTGACCCGCTCCCCCCCCCCCCCCCACCAGCTCGGAATCTCAATCCCCCAGCAATTGCCGCCGGAAGAACAAAAACAAACCCAACACAAAGGACCCAACCAGTTCCAACCTGGCTGGCCCAGGCAACCCCGCTACAAGGGGCCCAGCAGACTCACACCGGAGGGGCCCAGCCTCGGAGCGCAAAGTCACAGGCAGCAAGTACGACGGCCTCATCACCCATTTCTCGATCGAGTACGGCGCCGTAGAAGACAGTAAAAGGTTTGAGGAGGAGACGGCAAAGAAGTGGGTTTCGGACTCTCTAAAGCTCGCAAAGGTGCTCCATGATCAGATGAGATGTTTGGAGGAGAAGGTGAAACATGATAGGGGCGCTCTGGGGAGATTTCAGTGCGTGGGGTTTGTGACCGCAGGTAAGTCAAGAGCCCCTAGGCAGGATTAGGAGGGCAGAGTTTGAGTGATGTCGCAGGGTTACACTGTCGGGGTCTGTATCTGCAGTATGGGAAGGGCCATGTGAGTCTTCTGCGGCGGAGTGCAAAGTGTGAGGTCCCGGAGGATATCTCGCCAATCACCGATCTCATCGCTGTACTTGTTGTGGTTTGGCAGATAAGGGTAAGCTCTGTTCTATTATATCGTGTTGGATTCTGTTCAGGGCACTGATTCCCCATCTCGGCAGGAAACTGTGCTGAGGTCTGTCCATAACCTGGAGGGGTTCTTAGAGAGTCATGCGGAGATGCTATTTCAGGTGGCGGTGAAGCAGCCGCCACCTATACCGGCTATATTACTGACTTGTTTTGATACCGATGCGGAGCCTTGAGGGTCTTTTTTGGCGGGTTACAGGACTTTTTTTTTGGGGGGGGCTATCTTTTTGGGGCGTTGGGATGTATTCTTATTTGGCGCATGGCTGGTTTTGCTTGATTATAATTCAAAGATATACTCGGTTAGCAAATGCTGTAGAAGCACCTCTGTCCATATTCATTAAGCGTTTCTGTCCTATCTGCGATAAAACCCTGCAGTCTATATACTCTAGAACTGTACCCCTTCCCTGCATTATGGAGGGAGATTCTTTGCCACTACTGAGACCTGTATCTGAGACCTGTATCTGAGACCTGTATCTGAGACCTGTATCCGATTTGCGGCCACCCGGGTGCCGAGAAATATCAGTAGTGCACAGGACTAGGAGCTGTGGGCAAGGGGTAGATAGATCCAGGCGTGGAATCTTAGGTGTTGACTATAGCCATGGCCGGGTATGCGGGGTGGGGGAGGGTTGCATGTGACTGGGGTTGGTTGCGTTGGGTATTGAGTCCCACGACCATTGCATGAGTTGGGGGGGGGGCGCTTATGTAAGTAGAGTGATAATTTATGGCGTGGAGTTTAAGCGAGGCTGGACGCTCTTATGTAAGCAGAGTGATAATCTATGATCGGTTGATGGTGGAGTTTTAGACGCTTGGGACGGCTATTGGGTGCTGTGGGGGTGGGGGTCTCCATGCTACTTGGGGTGGTCGTGTTGGGCGGTTGGGATGAGGGGCGTTGACCACGTTGGGGGCGGGTTGGATGCGGACGGTAGAGCAGCTCATATAATTATATAAGCAGAGTGATGGTTTATGATTGACTGTGCGGGTTTTTTTTGGCGACGGTGACGATGCGTGGAAATTTAAGGGGGGGAAGAACGTTTGTTGTAGCCGTGGGAGGTTGCAACGAACGGGTCGGTGGTGGTTGTGGTTGGGTGGGCTGGTTGCTACCAGGTGGGGTTCAATCATAGTCTATCACTCGAACAAATCTTACACCCTCACTCGGACTCTTTCCGGTTATGAACCAACTTGTTTTTTTCTTTTTTTCAAGACATTGATTCTAGGCAGCCGATAGGCTATGGAAGTGATTAAAATCTGCTTCCTCCGCAGAACTGCCCTTAACTAAGACATCCCTCTTTGGAAGAAAGAGGGGATGAGAAATTCAACCAACAGGTACACTGCCATCATGGAGATATACTTGATTACTGGTGCCTGATACTGCTCTAGCTACCCTCTTACACACCGGAAACAAGCCCCGATTATTTCCTGACCCGGAGGTTAGAAAAAACTCGGAAGCTCGTAGCGGAAATTGTCCAATACGGACAGACACAATTTGTACATTCTTGACCCACACCTAGTCGCAATAACTACAGCAGCGTCAAAAGATAGAGACATCCTACATTGCCCACTACACAACCAACCAAACACGAACCAAAAGAGTCTACAGCCTTTTACACACCTCATCCCACAGCCCCTTGAAAAAATCCTCTATCCCCCCCGGCCTGTAACTGCACGTAAATTGCTTTCTCTCCCCGCCCAACTTTGCCACCGGGGTCACACTCGATGGCTCCGAGCCATCCTGCAACCCCCTCAAACTCCCCGACATCTTGACCTCCTCCACATCAAAGATATTCCCCGCGAGATCCAGCGCCTCCTTCACGACGGCCGCCAGCGCCTTTTGCGTCCCCTCCTGCAAGTCCAGGGCCATCCGCTCTGGATCCAAGCTCTTGATATTGTGCTTGATCGCCTCCAGGTCCGTAATTGCAAGTTTATACAACATAAACTCGCCTGCCTCCTCGACCCCATCAACTGCGGCTTGCACATCACTCATTGCGCCTACCATAGTGTCCATAAACATATTGAGGTCCCTTTGCGCCACATCAAATGCCAGCTTCAGCACGCTGTTTGCGACCTCGTCGATGGCCTTCATTCCCTCATCGATCGCTTTGTCGGCGTCCTGCTGTGCAGTTTGCAGGGCGAGCTTGAGCTTTTTGGCGCCTTCTACAATGTCGGCTTCGTCATCGGTGGGGGTGCTTTGGACTTCCGCGAGCACAGACTGCGCTTTGGCATAGGCGGCTTTGGCGGCGTCATTGCCGAGTTCCACCGCTTTTTCGGCGACCCAGACGGGGGCGGTGAGGGCTACATAGGGGCAAGTAGGTTAGTGAGTGCTTATGGAGCTAGTGTGGAAGGTGATAGGAGACGGAGAGGGGGGGGGACTACCATCTTTTTCTACTTCGAGCTCGACAACATCCCAATGCTGAGGTTTTGAGAGCTAGTGGTTAGGTTATATTGTATGTATATACTCCCCCGGGGGTGAGGGGATGGAGAGAGCACTTATGAGGCGCATTCTGTCCCAGAAGCCAGCGTTGTTTATCTGTTCGTTCATGTCATCGATCCGTGCCTGTTTTCCATTGGCGTTGTCTATATATATAGATATGTCATATCGTTAGTTTCATCACCACTTCATGACAGACAGCATAACAAATCGTAGATAAGCAGAAGGTCAAGAGGGAAAGTGGCTTGCCTTAGGGCATTCTTCAGCCTACTCTCCGCAGCTGCCAAATCCGCCTCAAAATTCCCGTATAAAACATTCAGCACCGCCTGCTCCGCTGCCACATTCTCCTTCTACCCCTCAATCTTCGCCTCGCCCTCCCTCGCCGCAGTCTCGACGGCCACCATCGCCTCCTGTACCGCCTTTGCCACATCCGCCTTTATCTGCTCCAGCTCATTTTGCACCTTGCGCACCGCATCCTCCAGCTTCTGCCTTGTATCCTGCAGCTCGCGGTCCTCGACACCCTTCTCCCATTCAAGCTCCGCTTTCCGGTCGTCGAACGCTTTGTTGACCGCTGTCCGCTTCGCATCGGCCTCAGCCTTCTTGGCGTTGACCCAGTCCTCCGCGGCTTGAGGCTTGATCTTGTAGGATGCCTCCTTTGCGTCTAGCACTTTCTCCTTCTCAGCATAGCTATTTCGCGCGGCAGTGTCGGCGGCAATAAAGTGGTCCTGAGCGGTGTTGACGATGTGTGCAATGATCTCTTTGTGCATCTCTGCAGTGAGGTCAAAGTCGAGGCCCTTCGTACCACCTCCTTCAGCAAGCTCGCTAGATATGTTGGCGATTAGGTCGGATTCGAGCGCCTCTGCGAACGCAATCTTGGCAACAAAGTTAAATGAGGGTTGTGGAGAGACCTCAATGTTTGCACTGATGTCGATAGCGAGTGCGTAGAGGTCTATTGTTCCGTCGAGCTTGATGTTGTTGTCTACTGGGCCTACCACGACGTCAACGGTGGCGGGGATGCTAGGCTTGTGAGCCCCCTGACGGTGACGGGACCTAATGCGAAGGGGTCTATGCTGCCTGACATTGCGATCTGCTCGGCGATGATGGCGTTGATCTTTGCAGTGTGCCCAAAGAGGTCCAAGGTGCAGTCGAAGCTAATGCCTGGTGGTCTGAAGACGCCGGCGATGGTGGCACCGGTGGAAAAGTATAGAAACACGTCCTTGAGTTTAAGAACTTCATTGTGCTGAGCTGTAATTGGAGAGGGGGAGGGGGAGGAGGTAGAAGAGGAGGCCACGGCGGCGGTGTTTCCAATTGTAAGAGGGAGACGAGGTCTACGTTCGTGATTTGAGCGGAGATGAACTCTTGGGTGGGAATCTCGGAGAGGACGATGTGGACTTTTGCGTCGGCACCCCCGACAGCGATTTCGCCACCCAAATCGAGCTTGTAGGGGATACCGGTTTCAGGGAATATCTTTTTAGGGTTGGGAAGATGTGGGGGTTACTCGTACGCATTCAAGGAAGAGCAGGAGGGGGCGGGGGGGGGGAAAGAAACCGCGTAGTTGATTTCAATAGCGAGTAGTAGATTGCTAATAGTGAGATCTGGGCCGAGTCCAAATGGGTCTTTCCAATCGGTTTTCGTTGTGCTATGGAACGAAGGATAGGATTTAGTTCACTAGACAATATGCTATATTGATGATATGGTCCATAGTGTGTGTGTGTGTGTGGGGGGGGGGGACATACCCTTTACCTGCCGCGGCTATATCACTTGCCTCAAGAGACAGGGTGAGGTTCAAAGGCTTTGGCTGACTTGCAACTCCGACCTCAAGCCCTGCGGATGCCAAGACATGCAGATTGTCCGAGATTACAATCTCAAAGCACAAGCCGTCGGGTTTAATATTGTCTCAATGTAATCTGTCAATATATGCCGGTTTTTAGTCCATCGTCCCCACTTGAAATGTACTAGTGATAAGCCCGGGAAGGGAAAACTCCTCCACTCCCTGTACACATATATTGGGCTATGCTGCACTTACCTTCTGCTCCTGCGGTAATGAGTTTTCAACCTTCAAACTCTCTCCATCCTCAGCAACACACAGCGTCAGTCCTCCCGACATTGTCTTTATCACCCCATTCACTGCTATGATTTCCTTCTGCAAAGTGGCAAATACCTGCACCCTCTTGATAACATACTTGAACATGTTGGGCACCTACTCTGTCACATCATCCTCATTGCTCAAAATGAATGCTACCTGCACAATGTCAATGTCCAACCACGGGTGCCCCTTCAGCGTCGGCGGACGATGCGACAACTGCTGCTGTAGATCCCCCTTCATCGCGCCGTACACTGTCCATTGAGCCTCGCCTCCACCAGGGAGGTTTTCTACAAAGAGCCCGGCATTGAACTCGGGCGTCCTCTAGATCACATCTCCTGATGGCTGCACCCCTATCGGGCAGCCAGTGTTGCTCGACGCTGCTCCGACAAACACGTCGAGTGCAGTCTTCTTGGTGACGGCTCCGCCGTCGAGAACGACGCCACCGTATTATACTCATTTCTGATGGGGTAAACTTAGGGTTAAGGTAAGCCCCCCATAACCAAAAACAGGGAGACCCCTATAGTATGCAGTTCTAGGTGCCGTACAGTCCCCTTCACCCACTTCTCTTTTGATATATAGGGGGCGTACGGTTGACTTGCTTTTGCCTCCTAGAACAAGCGTCGTGAAGCGATTGTTTTACCTGTATGGATGTATTGCTTCCTGACCGAAAGCAAGTTTGCACCTGCAATACATACAAATTTGCAAGGTTTCACTACTTTCTCAGGTATAACTCTCACCTCCACAGCCTACACATTCATAGCCTGGGCTTGCACCACCACCTCTCTGACAACAAATCCAGATCAGTAAAAAACAATGGAGTCATAAATAATTAGATGTCAACGGTGCACTAATGCCACTAATCTGGGCTCTCCATACTCCCTGTCGTTTCCACCTACCATGGTTAACCAATCTCTGAGATAACCAATCATGCTTTGCTCATTCGGGTGATCTAAAATACGATATATGCTGTAACCTAGTTCTGATTACTTGGTCAGTGACGAATGATATCAAATTTGACAGAATATACTGTGAGGATTCCCCCTTCATACCTCAGCTGTCGGTACCTTACCTGCTACTTTGATTACCACCTTCTGCTTGCATCTACTATTAGATTTGGATAACTTTACCAAAACCGATGTAGGAACCAAACCAATGGCTAGATTGAGTCCCAAATAACTGTACAACGGAGATTTAATTGAAATCTACTTGGTGCCAGATTGTGTACTAAATTACCCTGTATCGTTAGCAAGTAGGAACCATATTGTACATTAACTCAAGTAACAAGTCTGAAGCCGATTTTTTTACAAAACTGCATCAAAGCAAAGCTAAATTGTGGGGAGGGAGGCATTGAATCCAGTACAAACGAAAGACCACCTTAGGAACAAGCAAACAAAAGTGTTCAGCCATCTAGTAGGAGAATGTCGGACAGGATTTTGAGGTTGCCCGGGAACCGTCGCCCCACAATTCCCGATTCCGTGCCTACAGATTAAATAGGCCGCTCCGAGCCCATCGCCATCGTCAAATATGTAGGTACCGGGGGTCGTGGTCGTGATGGCAGGGGCGTAGGTGGTGGTTGGGGGCTGTTGGGTAGGGTAACTCCCTGTGAGTCTTGGCGGGCTGTGCTGGAGCACTTCCGGCGCCGTCACTTACCGGTTGGGTACCATGATCGATGCCAGCATGGGACCGAAAGCACCGGCTCAAGCCCACGATAATGACAGCGCCCGAAATTGAACTCAATTTCAACCTCCAACAAATACACATTTCTGTATTACCATTCCAGAGAGATGCTCGTAACCCTAACTACCCACAGCCCAGCTCCAATCTCCACCAAATACAGATTTGTGAATTTCAATTCCAGATTACTACTCATAACCCTAACCACCCAAATACAAATGTCAACCCCCATCGAATACACATTTATGTATTACCATTCGAGAGGGATGCTCGTAACCCTAACTACCCACAGCCCAGCTTCACTCTCCACCAAACAAACATTTCTGAATTTCAATTCCAGATTACTACTCATAACCCTAACCACCCAAATACAAATGTCAACCCCCATCAAATACAGATTTGTGTATTGTTGCAATCTAGTAGGAGAATGTGGGACAGGATTTTGAGGTTGCCCAGGAACCGTCGCCACACAATTCCCAATTCCGTGCTTACGGATTAAATAGGCCGCCCCGAGTCCATCGCCATCGTCAAATATGTAGGTACCGGGGGTGGTGGTCGTGATGGCAGCGGCGTAGGTGGTGGTTGGGGGTTGTTGGGTAGGGTAACTCACTGTGAGTCTTGGCGACCTGTCCTAGAGCACTTCCGGCACCGTCACTCACCGGTCGGGTACCACGATCGATGCCTGCATGGTACCGATTGCACCGCCCCAAGCCCACGATCATGACGGAGCTCGAAATTTAACGATGCCGAGTTTCCCCATCCTCCGCTTCGATGGAATACATGAATTTCGGATTCCGACCTCAGGGTTACCGTATCGGACGAATCCCACCGTGACTCCTCGACTCCGGTGTGTTTTATTGCACCGACTCGGATTCTGGTCGTCAGCTTACCGCCCGGGTGTGTTTTCTAACAGTAATTCGGATTTCAATGTCGGACCATGATATTCGCAATACTTGAAACCCAATATGTGAGTGACGATCCATGACCGACATTCCATATTGTGTATTGTTGCAGTCTAGTAGGAGAATGTGGGACAGGATTTTGAGGTTGCCCAGGAACCGTCGCCACACAATTCCCAATTCCGTGCTTACGGATTAAATAGGCCGCCCCGAGTCCATCGCCATCGTCAAATATGTAGGTACCGGGGGTGGTGGTCGTGATGGCAGCGGCGTAGGTGGTGGTTGGGGGTTGTTGGGTAGGGTAACTCACTGTGAGTCTTGGCGACCTGTCCTAGAGCACTTCCGGCACCGTCACTCACCGGTCGGGTACCACGATCGATGCCTGCATGGTACCGATTGCACCGCCCCAAGCCCACGATCATGACGGAGCTCGAAATTTAACGATGCCGAGTTTCCCCATCCTCCGCTTCGATGGAATACATGAATTTCGGATTCCGACCTCAGGGTTACCGTATCGGACGAATCCCACCGTGACTCCTCGACTCCGGTGTGTTTTATTGCACCGACTCGGATTCTGGTCGTCAGCTTACCGCCCGGGTGTGTTTTCTAACAGTAATTCGGATTTCAATGTCGGACCATGATATTCGCAATACTTGAAACCCAATATGTGAGTGACGATCCATGACCGACATTCCATATTGTGTATTGTTGCAGTCTAGTAGGAGAATGTCGGACAGGATTTTGAGGTTGCCCAGGAACCGTCACCCCATAATTCCCGATTCCGTGCATACGGATTAAATAGGCCGCCCCGAGTCCATCGCCATCGTCAAATATGTAGGTACCGGGGGTGGTGGTCGTGATGGCAGGGGCGTAGGTGGTGGTTGGGGGCTGTTGGGTAGGGTAACTCCCTCTGGTCTTGGCGGCCGAACCGGGCGAATCCCACTCCTCGATTCCGCTGTGTTTTATTACACCGACTCGGATTCTGATCTCCAGCTTACCGCCCGGGTGTGTTTTCTAACAGTAATTCGGATTTCAATCTCGGATCATGATATTCGCAATACTTGAAACCCAATATGTGAGTGACGATCCATGACCGACATTCCATATTGTGTATTGTTGCAGTCTGATTTTACATATTCCCTTGTTAGGGTTGCTCAAAATTTTAAGCCAATGGATAACTTCTGGTATCTTACTGGATTATTTTTTCCGACCCACAAACTGAATTCTTTTGAAACATTTTAGTTTTGTCTGAGAGCCGCTAACCCGAAATCCAAAGAAAATTTTCAAATATACTCATAAACTAAATTCTGATATATGATTTTAACAACTTACAAGCCTAACAACACCGATAAAAATTTTTGCAAACACGATCCTGTTTGTCAGTAGACCGCAGAATATACTAAAATCTTATCGCATATTTATTTGTACGGCAAGATATTGACACTATGGTCCCTGAATTGTGAACTCTTATCCCTCCCAAACTACTTGTTGAACAAAGGGAAACAATCTTCGTAACCGTAGCAAATCACTCATAACCTGGCATACACAACCCCCTGACGCCCCTCTACACCAGCGAGCACTGCAGGCAGGAAAAGAAGACTTTCACAAGTCTCTCCTGCCTCAACCGATCCGGGATATCCGTCATGTTCCAACAAGGCGTACTGAACTTCTGCTTCGTGAGAATCCTACCCACGGGAATTTTTGTCCCCCCACATTTCGCCGAAAACTAACAAGCTCAATCAACTCAATCTACTATCATTGAACAAATCCAACTGAACAATGAACCATTCTTTATATTCGCAGAACACGCCCCATACAATGAACAATACATACCCCGATATTACTACATCTACTCAAGGGTAGTCCTCCAGGAATCAAACGATAGAATAGAGCTGAACTATATGTTGCCGCTAGATTAGTGGAGGTAGTAATTGCATTACTATTATTTCAAAGTCGAATCAAACCTCCAGATTGCTCTCAGAGCAGTCGGTACGGCTTCAGAAAGTACAGTAAAATGAGTGATAATAAATGATTTGGTTGAGTGTGGAAATAATGGTAACACCGGAGAACCCCTGCCGTAAGAGGATTGGCAGTGCAAATTTACTCGCCAAGAATTGATTTCTAATTGAAGATATTGCGAGTGCTTCTAGAGCACCGCGGATATTCCTACCAGTCATCAAAATGCTTCCCTCCAAGTAATCCTGCAGTACAGCACCTCCTGTCCCAAAGCGCCCATTACTCCCAACATGATTGAAGAAGATGGAGACACTGATGAGTGTGAGATGTCTTATCGACCATTGACCCCACTGCCAGCCTGCACTCGGACTAGTCAATCGAGAACCGTTACCCAAATAACTCGGAAAGGTCTGCTCGGTTCTTCCGAAACATCCACTGGGAGGAGCAGTCCTCGGAGTGTAGAATTTCATCTCCCCGAGGATCATACTGACAATTTTGAAGCACAAGAGGAGCCTGAGGTAATTTAGGTACCTGAGGTGGAAGGAAAAATTGATACTAGCCACTCAGACTATTATG